ACGTCGTCATTTAACGTCGGTTATAGGCGAGACGACGTAGAAAGTACTTTCCACGTCGGTTCCGGATGAGACGACGTTGAAAGTTGAATAGTAAACACATTCACGTCGGTTCCCATATAAGCCAGAGCGTTGAAAGTCTTTTTTTTTTCACCCAAAAGCTCACTTAAATTTGAAAATTATCATTGGCGGGATTCGAACCCGTACTTTAGAGTTGGAGGCTGATACTCCAACCACTAAGCTACTAGAATTTTCTAATAATAACTTACAAATAAATTATATTTATATACAAATAAATATATATCCATGTAAATATATATTTATTTGTATATATTTTTTGGAAAGTATTTTTATTTTTATTTTCGATCAAAAATTCTCTTAAGTTAATGAATTGTCACTGATAGCATTTGAACCCGGTATTTTAGGGTTGAAAGTTAATATCCCAACCACTAAACTACTATAATTTTTTTATAATAACTTACAAATAAATTATATTGGTATTTTTCGATCGAGGGTGAAAGTGTGATTGACTCTTGCTTGAGTGAAAATATGTTAAAGCTCACGGAAATTCACTTACTCAAGTCTTGCTTGAGCGAAAATTGGTATTTTTCGCTTGAGAGAAAATAACGCGTTTCCCAAATTTATTTTATATCATTATATAAATAAAATTATAAAGATTATATTCTGTCATTAAATTACAAACTCATATAAAGATACTTGCTCACAAATTTAGCATCAAATTTTGAAAACCCACTCGACACACACTTTCACTTTCGAGTGTGCCCTCACATCCAACATATAAATATATAACTATATAAATTTATCAAAATATATAAATATATTTGTATTTATATATTTATATATTTACACGGATATATATTTATTTGTATATAAATATAATTTATTTGTAAGTTATTATTAGAAAATTCTAGTAGTTTAGTGGTTGGAGTATCGGCCTCCAACTCTAAACCTCGCCAATGACAATTCTCTTAAAAAATTAATAAACTTCTAAAAAATATAATATAAAGAGAGGGGAGACTTCTAGATAAATAAAAGGGGGTAAAGGGTAAATAAATAAAAATTATTAATTTAAAAAATCATACTTTCAACGTCGATTTATTAGAACCGACGTTGAAAGCTTTATTTGTAGTAGTGTTAATATTCTATTGAATAGATAAATAAAGTCACATAATAATATAATATGAATTAGAAGTAATGATTTTTAATCTTATAAGAGAGATAAAAACAAAAAAAAATTATAAAAATTAAAATTCACTTATTTTACATTTATTAAAATTATATTTATCTTTTTTAAAATTATTAAAAAGTTATAATATTTAGTATTTGTTTTATTTTTTTTTATTTATAAAACGTCACAAAACTTGATTTTTATTAAAAAATCTTATATTTTATAAAAATATTTAATTTTAGAATATTTTCAACCATTGAAGACACATATACAACGTGCACTAGTACGAAATCACTTTTAACATCGGTCTTTCCACATCGGTTCTTTAAGAACCGATGTAGAAAGTGGATTCAAGACTTTCTACATCGGTTCCCGGATGAACCGATGTAGAAAACACTTTCTACATCGGTTCCCGGATGAGCCGATGTAGAAAATACTTTCTACATCGGTTCTCGGATGAGCCGATGTAGAAAGTCATTTTATAAAATTAAGAGAAGCTATCACTTGGCAAGATTCGAACCCGGTACCTTAGAGTCGAAGGCCGATACTCCAACCACTAAGCTACTAGGATTTTCCGATAAATGTATATCCATGTAAATATATAAATATAAAATATATAAATACAAATACAAATATATTTATATATTTATATGTTGGATGTGAGAGCGCGCTCGAGAGTGAAAGTGTGTGTCAAGTGGGTTTTCAAAATTTGATGTCAAATTTGTGAGCGAGTCTCTTTATATGAATTTGTAATTTAATGATAGAATATAATCTTTATAATTTATTTATAATAATATAGCATATAATCTTTATACACTACTAGAAAAATGGTTAATAGTGACCAGAAATTAGTGACCGAAAAATTCAGTTTAATATATTTATAAAAAAATTAAAATTATTTTAATTACTTGAATTGATATTTTAAATTTATATTAATATTTTGGATAATTTAATAGTTAGATATATATTTTAAGTTTATATTAGTTATTTTTATATAAATTGTAAAGATTAAGTAAATTTATTTTAAAATTTAATTAAACATAATAATATAATATACTATTAACCATATTATTAGTTAGAAATTAATTTTAAGTTTTATCATATTTATTTGAAAAATATTTTTTAAAAATTTAAAATAATTAATTAAAATAAAGAAATTTAATTTAATAAATGTGTTAATATTATTAGTTATTAGAAAATTAAATTTATAATAATAATAATTATATAAAATTATAGAATTAATAAATGTTTCGCTTGAGCGAAAATCCCTCGCTCGAGCGAAACGCCCCTGCACAAAATATGATCGGTCATAATTGCATTCGATCGATCATAATTGAACGATATCATAGCGGTTCCGGGTTAACCGCTATCTAAGTGAGTTTTTAAAAGCGGTTCTGTGTAACCGCTATCTAAAATGTCTTTCGCTTGAGCGACAGTCTTATCGCTCGAGCGAAACGCCCCTGCACAAAATTGGCATTCTCGGGTTGTGTTTCGCTTGAGCGACAATCGTCTCGCTCGAGCGAAACGCCCCTGCACAAAATTATGATCGGTCATAATTGCATTTTGATCGATCATAATTGAACGATATCATAGCGGTTCTAGGTTAACCGCTATCTAAGTGAGCTTTTAAAAGCGGTTCTGTGTAACCGCTATCTAAAATGTCTTTCGCTTGAGCGGCAGTCTTCTCGCTCGAGCGAAACGCCCCTGCACAAAATTGGCATTCTCGGGTTGTGTTTCGCTTAAGCGACAATCCTATCGCTCGAGCGAAACGCCCCTGCACATATAAAAATATAAATATATAAATATATTAATATATAAATATATCAATATATAAATATATATAAATATATATATATATATATATACAAATATATCAATATATCAATATTATCCCCTCATATATTAATATATCAATATTATCCCTTCATATATCGGTCATCGAATCGGTCACTAATATCGGTGACCAAGGAAATAGTGATCGATTCCAGTTGGTCACTGATTCGGTCAACGAATCGGTCAGCGATTCGGTCACTAATTCGGTCAATGAATCGGTCACTGAATCGGTCACTAAAATATATTTTAATTCCTCACATCCAACATATAAAATATATAAATATATTTGTATTTGTATTTATATATTTTATATTTATATATTTTATATTTATATATTTACATGGATATACATTTTTATTTGTATATAAATATAATTTATGTATAAGTTATTATCGAGAAAATCCTAATAGCTTAGTGGTTGGAGTATCGACCTCCGACTCTAAGGTACTGGGTTCGAATCTTGCCGGTGACAATTCTCTTAATCGATAATAAATCAAATTTCTAAAAAATATAAATAATATAATAAATAATAAAAATATAATATAAAAGGGAGAGGAGACCTCTAGATCAATAGATAGGGTAATTGGAGAGGGGTTATGAATAAATAAAATAAATAAAATAAATAAAATATATAAAAATATTAGACTTTCTACATCGGCTTCTAGGAACCGATGTAGAAAGTGGAAAGTCACACTTTCTACATCGGTTCCTTAGGAACCGATGTAGAAAGTGTGACTTTCTACATCGGCTGTATCTACATCGGTTCTAGAACCGATGTTAAAAGTCCCTGGGAACCGATGTTAAAAGCCTGTTTTGTACTAGTGGTGCAAGATATGTATGATATTTCTTCACATGGTTTAAACATGCAACCCGCTCTTCACGTTTTGGGTTAAACTGTTTTGTCACCTTTTGTGGAACAAGAACAAGCCCTCCATTGATTTATCCGCACTTGGGCCACGGAAATATTAGTCATTAAAATATAAAAAATATATTCAATTATTATGCATACATCCAAGCGGAACCGATCGACATGGATCGCCACGACCCCTAAATTTATATATATATATATATATATATAATAATAATAATAATAATAATAATAATAAAATAATTATTATATTTTTATTTTTATAATTAATATTATTATTTACATTTTTTTCTTTCTCATTCATTTATTTTCATATTTTTTATTTTTTTCTCATCCATCTCAACCTTTTCTCTATTTCAACTTCAAATGTTTACACTAGTACAAAAATCACTTTTAACATCGGCCTTTCCACATCGGTTCTTAAAAAACACTTTCTACATCGGTTCTCGGATGAGCCGATGTAGAAAGTCTTTTATAAAATTAAGAGAATTGTCACTAGCAAGATTCGAACCCGGTACCTTAGAGTCGAAGCCGATACTCCAACCACTAAAGCTACTAGGATTTTCCGATAATAACTTATACATAAATTATATTTATATACAAATAAAATGTATATCCTTGTAAATATATAAATATAAAATATATAAATACAAATACAAATATATTTATATATTTATATGTTGGATGTGAGAGCGCGCTCGAGAGTGAAAGTGTGTGACAAGTGGGTTTTCAAAATTTGATGTTAAATTTGTGAGCGAGTCTCTTTATATGAATTTGTAATTTAATAATAGAATAAAATCTTTATAATTTATTTATAATAATATAGAATATAATCTTTATAATTAATTTATATAATGATATAAAATAAAGAAAAAAAATTATTTTATATCATTATATAAATAAATTATAAAGATTATATTTTGTCATTAAGTTATAATCCATATAAAGAGACTCGCTCACAAATTTGACATTAAATTTTGAAAATTCACTCGACACACACTTTCATCCTCGAGCGCGCCCTCCCATCCAACATATAAATATATAAATATATTTGTATCTGTATTTATATATTTTATATTTATATATTTACATAGATATACATTTTTATTTGTATATAAATATAATTTATGTATAAGTTATTATCGAAAATCCTAGTAGCTTAGTGGTTGGAGTATCACCTTCGACTCTAAGGTAATCTGGATTCGAATCTTGCCAATGACAATTCTCTTAATCCGATAATAATTCAAATTCTTAAAAAATATAAAAAATATAAAAAATAATAAAAATATAATATAAAAGGGAGAAGAGACCTACCTATCAATAGATAGGGTAATTGGAGAGGGGTTATGAATAAATAAAAATATA